TTTCCACATTTTTTTTACATGAAAAGTTCGACACGGAAACGAGAGAAAATTTCAATCTACAATTGCTGAATTATCGCGTAAATAAACGAAGAGACGTTGCTGTGAACAGTTTGAAGTAACGATCGCGAAAGAAAATCTTTGCGACTTTTGTTCGTCGAACAAGCCAGCACGAAATACCGTAACAGGTAATTAAGTTAGAAGGGGATTAAGAGATAAAATGTTTCTGCGTTTTATTTATCATAAACCAGAGGTGGATTAATTCTTGCCGCGATGAGAACAAGCTTCGTGGTATTTCGAGACGCCAAATCGGCAAGTTTTAGTGGTTCAAAAATATTTTATTACTCCGTAAATGTTAGTAAACTGCTCTTTAACGACAGAAACATTTCTATTAATCACACTGAATAAGAAATCGAATTTTTCTAACATGTACCTCTAGTTTCGTTTATTTTCTTCAGATAATTGTAACAATCTGAAGTATTTTTATTATTTCGTCTACTATAATACCCCTGATTCGACAAATTTCCATAAAAACTCCTACTGACTTGCATCCAGCATCGCAAAATTTTTTGAAAGTAATTTTAAATACAAAAATTCAGAGTATCGTCAGAATGATTGCTTATCAATATTCGAAATAAAGACAGAAAAATAATTTCCCTATTTGAAATTGTCATTAACTTCGTACATCATCTTCTCCATCACGTTTCTATAAAATTAGCGTTAAAACCTTATCACATCGATACCAAAAATCCTTATTTTTCAATTTTAACGAATAAAATGAAATTCACCGAATCGAACATTCAGCGAGATCGAGAGGGAACCATAAGCATTGCGTTACGTATAATTTTTTCGTCATACCAATAACGTTCCGTAGAACGCGTCAGCCTCGATATTTCAATAGGCAGGAACCTGATACGATCTGATCGATAAAGCGTCCATGTTGTTGCACAGGTGACAATATACCGTACATACATCGGGGAGTTGTGTAATCTGTTAAGTAACTTTGATGCTGCTACAAGTACGAAAAAAATGATTTCGAGTAATTTCTGTTTCAGATTCTTCTACCTGTACCACTTCTCCTTCTACGCTTATCACTACCGATTCAACGGACAGTACAGCAGTTTGGCCCTTGTCACATCCTGGCTTTTCATACAGGTGACACAATTTTTACTTTTTTAAGATTTCTCGTCATTCGTTTTCACGAATTTTTCGTGATATCGTTACGACAAGTGTTTCAGTGATTTTTGTTGGAAGCGGATTTGATGCAATATTTGGGGAACATTTTTATTTAATTAGATTGAAAAAGGGAAACTTTGATGGAACGAAAATGTAAAAGTAATTTTTATTCTTTTCAATTGACGTATTTTAAAATATGTTTTCTCTTCGAATATTTGCTTTGAATATTTATTTCTACCCATTTCATTCGCTATTCCGTTCAGAAATTTCACTCTTATTACGCATTAACCGTTCCAACACAGCTATCTTGAAAATATGAACGTGTCGAACGAGAATAGGAAACAATTTTGTCGAGTACCGGGAATTTCATATCTTATCGTTTCGGTGATACTATTGCTTCAAGTGTATTGTTGGCAAATTAGAAGAAGAGTAAAAAATTATTCCTCGATTTTTAATATAAATCAACAGTTAGTGCCATTTGAGAGCGTCTGAAGATAGGTAAAATTTGGGAATTTTTTTCATAGCTAACTACTAACGCAAAAATTTCAATTTTTTTACAGTATGTAAATGTAACTTCCCACTTTCTTCTCCAATTTTTAAAAGTAAAAATATCACAAAGTGAAAGAGTTATCGAGAAACCTCTTCTACTAGACTTCTACCATTTTCACTTTCCAAAAATTGTCGAACAAAGCTCGAAGTTACGTTTACATCCTTAAAAAAAATTGAAACCTTCCACTTAGTACTTACCCTCCCCAAAAATTCCCAAAATTAACTCTACTTCTCAGCACTGCACGCAAAAGCAACATTATCGTATATTCTAAATCCTCCCAAAAACTCGATGTTCCGTTGTCGTACCTATACAGCAAGCATGTTCACAAATTTACAACTAAGAGCAGAATAAACAGCCGACAAATTAGGATCTCGCGGAGAGCATGTTAGCGGTAAACGATCGTGGACGCGGCGTTCGTTCCACTACAAATGGACCCGGTTTACCCGGTGAAAAATACGGGAACATTTGGATGGCGAAACGTGTACTTAGGTAAAATGTTTTGGGATTAAGACACGAGCAGTCATCACGGATGGCGAAATAATTGTCCCCACCCCTTTAGCCGTAAACGGTCCTACGGGGGATGCGAAAGTTTGCGCGAGAACAGTTGCTCGTTCGCGTTGAAAACGGGCATTAATCAGGGAATACTTTGCGACGACCTACTTGAGAATATACTCGGCCGGGCCGAATAAATATGTTTCCCCGGGTGAAGTTAACGCTCGTGCTTGCCGGCACTTATCAAAGAACTCCGCTCAAACAATGGGCGCACGTTTGGAAATTATGTCACGGAGTACTTTTCCCCTTTTTCACGTTCCGCCTACCCGATCGATCATCTCTCCTGACATCGATCGCGAGGAATTTCTCGAGAGGGCTGCAAATGTGTTTGCCTTTCAAATTGCTTAGCCCCGGATGTTCGCCGTGCGTGAAAATATGTTTTCTCTCGTGCGGCGAGAGAGAGCCGCGCGTTCGATTGGACGCTCGAGCCGACCGAATTAAATCGATAGGAACGTAATGATGAACATTGTGGAGCGAATTCGTTCCGCCGGTGGTAGGAACGTACGGAAGAATAATCGTCGGTGTTTATGCAGGAGTGTGGCCCTTTTATGTTTCTACGTAATTAAGTGTCACACTTAGGGGAAGTGCGTGCGTTGCTGGACTCGAAGATTTTCGAATTACTGGGAGTTCTAGGGGAATGCAGAATTTTGGGCCAGATTTGGGGATTTTGGTTGGTAAGGGAAGTTCAGAAAATTTGAAATTTTGCAGAAATGTAGTTTAATTCAGGCTGATAACGACATTAATTTTGTTTCGACGATGAGGGATGAAAATATCTCGAAAAGGAAAATTTGCAAACCCCAAAATTGAAAAGAATTTTAAACTTTGCGGAAGTGTAGTTTAATTCAGGCTAATGGCGAAATTATCTTTGTTTCGACAATGAGGGGTGAAAAACAGTTCAAAAAGGAAGTCTGGAAACCCCAAAATTTAAAAAATGTGAAACTTTTCGGAAGTGTAGCTTCTGAGCGGAAGTGTAGGTTGCGAGCTTTTGTACTCGATAGAATTATTTTCTTCAACAATTTTGGTCATAATACTAAAGTTACGAGGATCGTTATCCAGTTGTTTTTCTGGAGAAAAGTGAGCAATTTTTCGAAGGCAGATTTTCTTCCGAGTCCAACGAGGTAAAACGAAAGGCGAATATTTTATAAGAGATCCGATTGGCTCCTGGTAAAAGTTCTGCTATTGACAGTAACGGTGGCGAATGAAGAGCTGTTGTTTTGCAACCTAGACTCGCCATCTCTTAAACTTAAGTTACGTAAACGCGACCAGGACAATGCATTTGACAGTTCAATCGATAGGAATGATTTAATGCCAAATTAGTGCTTCAGTGAGTAAGCATGAATACCACTCAATTTTAGTTTGTCATGTAAAATTCATCCTTGAATATATCAGGTGGTGTTAGATTAAGTAGCCATTTTTCTAGGTCGAAATAATAACGCTGTATTGTCGGAAATAATGATCTTTATTACGTTGAAATGTCTATCATTAGTATTAATGGCCTTTTGCTAAGGAAGCACCAATTCGTATGTTCTATTTTTATAAAAGTTAGCATCTTTTTAACACATTGGCGACGGGGCGTTCGGAGTCGCGTTTGACGTGGGTACGGGGCGATTTCGCGTCTTTCCTTGTAATCGCGTTACGCTGGAAATAACTTTTTAACTAATTAACATTTCACAAAGGAATTTTGGGGAAAGGTGTAAATAACTTTTGTGCGTAAAAATGTATACTTTTTAAAGTGCAAACGTCAGAGGTTCGTTCTCAACCTTTTTATTATTTGTTAAGAAATACATATTTATTATTCTTCTTACGGTAATATATAAAAATTAATATTTCTTCTTCGTATGGTACGTTTGGAAACAGTTACCAAGATGTAACGGTACGTTACAATCTTTACACATATAACAAGTCTCTCGACGTCTGTTATGTGAATAACACACACGACACCTTCTTCTGACTTTCTTATTTTTGCTCAAAATTCTTACAGGTTCGTGTTGTTTCATATTTCCTGTCAGTCTTTCCAGTGGATCGAAGTGAGGTGCTCGTGCGGAAGTTGATAGTTCTAGCCATGCTTCAGCTATATTCAGCATGAAATCGTGGAATCTCATTTTTGACTGTGGATTAAGAATTTGAAAAATACTTTTTTAGTCCATTTCAGAGTTTTTCTAAAGATAGGGTTGTATTGATCGAGATATTGAACAAGGTCGACACCATTCATATATTGATTGTAATCTATTATACAATGAGGTTTTTGGATAGGAAGCCTCGTGTTGCGGTCAATTTTATTCGAATTTATCATTTTAGCGTTATGAATGGTAGAGATCATTTGAATATTGCGTTTTTTTCCACTCTTCCATATCTGGAGCATAATTTCTCCTTTTCTCTTGTGGCATGTTTCTCCACGTTGTAGTTGTACGTCTTTTAAAGAATTTGGGATTCTCCGATTTGTTCTTATTGTCCCACAAAGTCTGACCTTTTGTGATAATAATATAGAAGCTAAATTTACACTATTGTAAAAGTTATCTGCATATAGATGATGCCATTTGTTTAGGTATTGATCCATTACGTTCATGATGGTGTTCTCCAACTTGACATTCTTTCCACAATAAAGAATAAAATTACAAATATGTCCTGTTTTGGACTCGCAAACCATTCTATGATAACACACACGACACCTTCTTCTGACTTTCTTATTTTTGCTCAAAATTCTTATAGGTTCGTGTTGTTTCATATTTCCTGTCAGTCTTTCCAGTGGATCGAAGTGAGGTGCTCGTGCGGAAGTTGATAGTTGATCCGATGGTTCATTCGTTGCTTCTTCAATATCAGAGTACGATGTATCAGCGGTTGTTTCTAGCCATGCTTCAGCTATATTCAGCATGAAATCGTGGAATCTCATTTTTGACTGTGGATTAAGAATTTGAAAAATACTTTTTTAGTCCATTTCAGAGTTTTTCTAAAGATAGGGTTGTATGCGAGATATTGATCGGCAAGGTCGACACCATTCATATATTGATTGTAATCTATTATACAATGAGGTTTTTGGATAGGAAGCCTCGTGTTGCGGTCAATTTTATTCGAATTTATCATTTTAGCGTTATGAATGGTAGAGATCATTTGAATATTGCGTTTTTTTCCACTCTTCCATATCTGGAGCATAATTTCTCCTTTTCTCTTGTGGCATGTTTCTCCACGTTGTAGTTGTACGTCTTTTAAAGAATTTGGGATTCCGTTCATGATGGTGTTCTTCAACTTGACATTCTTTCCACGATAAAGAATCAAATTACAAATATATCCTGTTTTGGACTCGCAAACCATTCTATTGAGAATGCCATATTTTATAATTTTACTAGGGTTGTAAACTCGGAATTGAAGTCTTCCCCTCCATGGGGAATAGATTCTGTCCTGGTTCATATACACTTTTCAATTTATCTAGAAAATAATCTATAATTTCCTGCACTTTTATTAGCTTGTTTTTATTTGCATGGACAACTGTGTTATTAGTGAAATGCAGGAAAGTACAAATTTGTAAAAACCGATCTCTACTCATAGTATTGCCAAAAACTGAAGTTGCTATAAGTGGATTTGTGGACCAATAATTGTGTATCTTGTTTTTCCTCACTAAGCCCATAATTATTATAAGGGCAAATGCTTTCTTGATTTCCGGAACTGTGACATCGACCCATTTAGATCTATGTGCAGGATTTTTATATCTGTGGCTATTTGTGTTATGATAACGATTTGTTTCAAGCACAATTTTTTCAAATAAATCATCCCCAATGAATAAAGGATTTCTGCATCTGATCTTTGAGGATTGTCTGCAAAGATTTTCACTCCAGTAATACCTTCGAATTGTTCGTTATGTCTTTCTGGATCAAATTCCGAC